AGGGACTGCAACTGCAAATCTCCGCGGCGAAGAAGTTTACTGATAAGTGGAGATTGTCTGCCAACGTTAAGAAGAGTGCCGTCATGGTATGCAACGAGAACAAGGAGGAACCAGTAGAACATAGATGGAAGTGGGGGATCGAGGAGATTGCAGTAGTGGACCAGTACACATACCTTGGAGTAGAGATCGCAAAAGACTGCTCGTGGAATGCACACATGTCCAAGGTAGCGGAAAAGGGCAAAGCACGAACAGGGAAGCTGCACCCAATACTCGTAAACCGGCACCTCGATACACGCGTCAAATTGACGGTTTTGAAGAGCGTAATCGTACCGCCGCTAGAGTACGCCGGAGAAGTATGGGAAGGAAATAAGAAGGTAGTGAAAGAACTCGAGGCGGCGCAGATGAAAGCAGCGAAAATCATCCTAGGATGCTCCACGCGCACAAGTAATGCAGCCGTGAGGGCAGAATTGGGGATCCAATCCCTACGGTCGGGAAGAGACGCGAGGAAGCTGACATGGCAGTATCGCATGTGCGGGATGGGAGAGGAGAGGTTGCCGAGAATTGTATGGGAGGCGAAGTGGGCAAACAAAAAGAGGGGTAGACAACCCACGGAATGGGTCAAGGTTGTAGAGGACGTATGGAAGGGGCTCGACATCGAAGATGAAACGCTGGAAACGAAGGGTCTACATGTTGGTAAACTCGTGGCTTGTAGAGAGAAGGATGTTGGATAGTTGAGACTTGGTCTTATTAGTTGGTTTGGAATGGGAGTGGGCAAGGTGAGGGCGTGCAGCACCCCTATCTGCCCGATTGCAATACCCCGACAACCCGATCACGAATCACATCGCACTATCCCGATTCCCCGATCACGGGTAGTTGTACTCTTCCTACGAGCCACAAATACATCGGGGGAAAGCACAATCCACCAACAGATTGCCCGACAGATACTTATACGAATGTTCCACAGCGGAACGTGCAGAACCGGAGTAACCTTCCAACGACAGTCCCGCTAGTCAAGTCGTCCAATCAGATATACCCGGCCATTGAGTCGATACACCTGCCGCTACCACGAACACTACAAGGGTTCAAGGAGAAGATATCTGTTGCTTGTGCCCAGAGAGCGAAGAACAGAGTCTAAGGAAAGAATCCAAGGACAAGGAGGGTCTAGAAGTGTACGGGATGTTGAAGGAAGGAATAGGGTTGAAGGACTACCTACATGGGCCAATGGATGCAGGAACAAAGGTTAAGGTCGAATTCAGGACCGGGGACATAGGCCTTCGAGAACGTCGACGAAGACATAGGACGGTAGACGAGGAAGACGACGAGTTCAAATGTGATTGCGGCTTCGAATGCGAAGACCGTGTTCATGTAGTCGCGGAATGTCCGTTGTACAAGAAGGAGAGGGAAGTGTACGTGACTGAGCTGGGAAAAATAGATGGNACGAAGACATAGGACGGTAGACGAGGAAGACGACGAGTTCAAATGTGATTGCGGCTTCGAATGCGAAGACCGTGTTCATGTAGTCGCGGAATGTCCGTTGTAGAAGACGAAGAGGGAAGTGTACGTGAGTGAGCTGGGAAAAATAGATAAGACGTATAGGGAGATGTTTGAGGCATGGAATAGAGAGGAAAGGACGGTAGCTGTACTGGGGCATAGGAGGTGGGTTGAAAAGGCGGGAAGGGATATCGTTAGGATAGACAGACTAGGGAAGACATTTTTGAGCCACCTTTGGCAAAGTAGAAAGGAACGATTGGCCATCGGTGATCGGTCCTGTGGGAACAATGCTCCGTCCTCTCGAGGACGCGTGGTCGATGGTCTAACCGCTAAGGCATGCAAAACATAAGAGTACACCCCCCCCACCCCCCCAGGCCCCTCCACCTCCCTCAACGAGACTAAGCTGCCGTTTCTTCGAGCGCTTTTTCGCCCCGAGCGCCTTCGCCCTGCCTCCTCCTCCTCCCTCACCCCCACACCTCACCCTCCCCCTTCTCGTCCTCCCCCCTCCCCTCCCCAAGCTCTCGCTCTCTCTCTCTCCTCTGCTATACGGACGGTATGCGCGCAAGCTAAAGCTCGCCCAGGGGCTACGTGGGTTGTCACTAAACTCCCGTGCATGAAATGTGCCCCCTCTATTAATAGGATATAGTATAGGGGTTTTATATGCGAAATTGTATGGCGTCGGGGGGAGGGATGGGCCTTCGCAATCCCCCCCCCCCCCCCCCCCCCCCCC